TGCCTCTGCCTCCCGAGTGCTGGGATTAAAGGCATGCACCACCAATGCCTGGCTAAAGTCTGGCTTTTTGAATGAAAAAAAAAAAAAAACAGAATGTATATCTTGTAGCAAAGAAGAAGGGGATATGACTTGGTGAACCTGGAACCTTGGAAACCAACTGATGACATCAATCTTTGTTGGAGAAACCCTAGCTTAGAAACTGTGCTTTCTTATTCCTAAAACTGGTCCTAAAAACCTGCGTCTTGCCCTGTGCTGAAGGTTAGAGAGGAACTCCTGCTTGAAGACTCTAGAAGAAAGGAAGACCCAGGCTTGTATCAGTTCTGCTCTGTTGAGACTTTTGCAGTCATTCAAATTGTGTGCTAGTAAGCAGAAATGATCCACCAGACAGTGTGGTGTCTTCCAGCCTTGGCTTATCTTAGTTCTTTGGGAAGGGCTTTCCATGGAGGACAAAGAAGATCATAAACATGTCACCTCCAGGTCTGTGGAGAGAGTCAGATTTGGCAAAGCTGTACATCTGGGGTGTGGGCTATAAGGGCCATTACATTACCTCTTTATCTCACCAATGTCTGAATCTGAACTTTTTAAAATTAAAATTAAGTGTAGCCTTTAAACTAATTTATAAGTGTTAGACATCAGGATAATAGTGTCATTTGAAGGTGCTATTGATTACAAAGGGGGGCAGGGAATTTCTTGGCTGATGGTAACTGTCTTTTCCTCCACATGAGTGTTCCCTCTGTGAAAGATATATGGGAACTTTCCAGTTATGGTTTGAACAGATCATTCCATGTTTGTAATGCTATAAAATTATTTTAATCCTGTTTTAAACTACCCTTACAGGGTAGTGGTGTTTGGAAACATTCACACGTATTTCTAAGTTAGTTAAAACAGATGAGTTTATTTCCACAAGTCAGTTAGCCTGAAAACACCTCACGCTACTCCTCACACCACTGATATGTCTTCATCCTCTCTCCCACCTGTTCCCTTCCCCATGACCCTGTACGGTGGGTCTTGCAGTTAGCAGCCCTGCTTGTACATTCACAGGTCCTTTACTCCCTTCCATTGCTGAATCACTGGCTCCTTCCAGCTTCTGTGAACTATAGACATAGATGAGATGATTTCTCTATCTCTCTGTCTCTCTGTCTCTCTTTCTCTGTCTCTCTGTCTCTCTTTCTCTGTCTCTCTGTCTCTGTCTCTGTCTCTCTCTCTGTGTGTGTGTGTGTGTGTGTGTGTGTGTGTGTGTGTACATGGGCATGCTTGCAGGGGATGACCCCATGGAGGAATACAAATGTAAGGAAGCTTTTAGGGAAATGTTTTGTCTGTCAGGCATTTTTGTTCATATTGCTCTTAGAACAGTCAGGCTCTCAGATAAAGTTCTGTTTGTTTCTTCTCCACCATTTGAACACAAAGTCAGAGTCTGAAGAATTCTTGATTAAACATCCTTGGTAGCTTTGTAATTGTTTCCTTCAGGGACATTAGTATTAGGTTGATAACAGTGCACAAATGGCCACCGGGCCCAGGCTCCCCGAGGAGCCCGGGATTCTGCTTTGTTTCTATGGCACAAATGAACCTCATTAGCAGCAGGCAGGCCTTCTTCGCTCTTGTTGGTCTCCAACTCACTGCAGAAATGGAACCAAATCTCTGTAATGCATGGAGCCTGTTCCCACTATCTTATTACAATTACTTGGCCCTGTTCTCCTGGCCTTGTCAGTCATTCCTGTCACACAGGTTCTTCTCAGACAAAGCTGCAGAAAAAAAAAAAAGTGTCATGTATCTTAGGAGATGTCAGACTAAAAACAAATCTGAGGTTAGATGTAAATCATCTTGTAGGCTACTTCCACAAGCTTGCTATTCTTCATACTAAGAATATTTTGAGGTTAGCGTCAAAATAGGAAACCAGTTGCAAGGTTATTGTTGAAGTCTGGCTATATTACTTCACTGATATGTAGTAAGAGAAACAGGAACTTAGAAGGATGCCCAAACCGAGAGGAGCCTCCCTTGCCTCTTGTTTGCCTGGGCTGGTCAGCTACTCTCGTCTGTTGAGCTGATTTGTATTGTTTGTATGTATGTATGTATGTATGTATGTATGTATGTATTGTATTGTATGTATGAGCTGTTGATATGTATGAAGTGAGGATCCGGGACCTGGAAGCCTTTCCCAGTCTCCTTCAAGTCCCCAGTGTCCAGGTTTATAACCCTGATTCTGTGAAGCCACTTGGTCAGAGTCTGGAAAGTGCCCTATGCTAGGTAAGACCCTGTACCCTTCCTTCCCTACCAGTCCTATATTATCATTTGTCCTTTACAATAGCCTGTAATTATCCCCATGTTTCAGATGAGATCTGAGAAACTGAGCAAGTCATTTACCCAGGATCATAAGTGAGGAGCCGCTTCTGGTTGAGCCCAGTTTCATTCCAGGGTCTGCTGTACTGAAAAACTTGATATAAAACTCAAACAGGTCACCCAGGGGTGAACTCTTGTTTCATGAGTGACAGGATTGGAACCCTGGGTGTTTGTTTTGCAGACCAGATGCCATCAAACTCATAATCCTTCTACATATGCCTTAAGAGTATATGCTGAGTATAACTAACATGTATCACCATACCTTGCTAGCAAGGAAATTGCTAAGCACCTCAAATGGGTACTAAGAAGTTTTCCTTAGGGAACAAGAGAGTAGAAAGAACCGCACTTCCAGATCAACCTCCTGCACTGAATTTCTCGTGGACCAGCAATCTCAGATGTAGAACTGATCTCCGTATCCATGAATGAGAACATCCTCTTTGCCTGGAGCATGACAGAAGCTATCCACTGGATCAAATACTTAACATTATGTTTGTTTCCCTAAGTGAGGAATTAAACACATCCAGGAAAGCAACTGGGTGACTATGTATGGTCATATTATTTCACATATAAAAATGTTCTGTTATCCAAGGGTTGAAGGCATAGGCGTGGACTCCATGGAGACAAGCAGAAACATGGGCTGGCTCTTATTTGTGATCCATAGATGTCCAGCAATGGTTCCAAGGAAGATCCAGGAATCTGAACAACTACATTTTGGATCCATGTAGACATGTGGACATATTCATTAGCATCTCAATGCATCCATGACCAATCATTCAATACTTATTATTAAAAAGACATTTGATCCAATTATTTGTGTGCATCAGAGTCTGAGAACACTGGTTTGGGGATTTCCAGAGATTACCCACGTCTCTGTAATGCTTCACTTTATTAATTTTCTTTGCATATTGATTCAAATAAACTCTCTTATTGACTATATTTACAGACTGGATTTTTCCATCTACCACATGGAAACTTTTTCATTGAGCCTGTTAAAAAGCATCCGCTGACCGAGGAAGGGTACCACCCTCATGTCGTATACAGGAGTCCAGAGACAAAGGAGCCCACCTGTGGATTAAAGGGTACGGTGACTTGAACATCTTCATAGACAAAGAGTGTTCTGTTTTGATTCTTTTTAAAGCATGACCTCTTTAGACAGGTCTGATAGTTGTGACTATTTATCTATTTAGAAGGCTGAGGCATGAGGGCATGAGAGTCATGAATTTAAAGTAAGCCTGAGATACATGGCCAGCCCTATCCTGTGTTAAAAAAAATCATCTTTAGATTATCCTAGGAAGAAATAACATAAAGAAGTAATGCCTTTAAACACTGACAACATGATATTACATTAGTGCTAGTGTAAACTGTTACAAATAGCTGGCAGCTCTTCAAGCCTGCATATGGAAGGCAGACTAAAATGTTTGATAATGATGTGTGAAGAGTAACTGAAATGCTTATCAATGCATTATTAGATGATGGATTAGTGATGCTCCTGGTTACACTGTTTTGTGTCTGATGTTGGCTGAGCCATGTTTCATGCCCTCTGCCCCCTGTTCCCCTCTACCTATCACCTCTCCCCCTTTCTCCTCTGCCCCCTTCTCCCCACCACCATTCCCATGCCCCCTGTTCTCCTGCCCCCTGCCCCCTGCCCCCTATTCCCCTGTCCTCCTGCCCCTAGCCTCCCTGTCCTTCTGCCTTTCTGCCCCCTGCCTCTTGTTTCTCTGCCCCCTTGTCCTAGGAATGATCTGAGCTGCTCCTTTCTTTCTTGCCATGGATAGTTAGGATCTTGGAGGAGTTAGGGGAAGGGAAAACCATGATCAAAATATATTGCTTGAAAAAAATTAATAGAAAAGGATGCATTTATCCTTTCCACTTTCAAACAATAAAAAATAAAACGCTTTTCATAGATAAACTGATCCAAGTAGTTTCATTGCAACCTCACATTTTCTTCAATGTCTAGGAAATGAAAACTGTGCATAAAGGGCTAATCAAAATCAGAATATTTCCTCAAACATTATATTGTCCATTTTTTCATAGGGAAACTAATAATATCAGAAGGAAAAAACAGTACAAAAGAAATAGTGTCTTAAGGATCTGGAAGTCTCAATGGGGAAATGAATGGCGAAGGAGTTAAAGCAGTGGTTTCTGGGCAGAGCAACTGAGGAGGGCTACTTTGTAGTCAGAGTGTGGAAGTCAAGGGGACACAAGTTCGTGCTTGATAGAGACATCCCTGAGAGTTCTCCCTATAGTCTCAACAGTGATTGTAAGCAGTAAGAAGCTTTTAAATATGCAATGTTTTATGTTCATAAAGTCAAATGACTGCCTTAATCCTTTAACACTGGTAAGTGATTGCAACTGGGTTCTACATTACATAATTTACCATGAAAAGCTTGTAGCAATCGTGACAAGAAAGGAAGACACCAATCATCTGGCTGATTGGATGGCTGAAAGTGCCAAACCACATAATCTCGATGTCAAATTTAGGGTGCTGTTTGTCACAAACCCAATCAATGGGTAATTACCCCACTCCTATTATGTTCTGAGTAATGGAGACTGCGTTGTGTATGTGACTTCATAGCTTTAAGCTAGACACCAAGGTTTAGGTTGCCAGCATAACTAGGAGAATTACTAGGGCAATACATGAATTTGTCTATAGTTTTTTCATGGAAAGTGTTAAGACGGTTCCTCACCTACCCACCTCGAACACTTGAACTCCCTGTAGAGAAGTGGGCCTATTACAAATGCACAGAGGGGCTGGAGAGATGGTTCAGCATGTAAGCGTACTTGCTGCTCCTGCAGAGCGCCCAGATTCAGCCCCCAGAACTCGAATGACAGCTAAAAATTGTCCAAACCTCCAGTGCCAGGGGATGCTATGCCCTCTTCCAGCCTTTACATGTGTTATACACAGAAAACACTCATGCACATAAAAGAAAAAAAATGAATCTTTTAAACAATGAGCTGATTATAGCCAACACTTAGTTATGCAGGCAGAAGAAAAGGTAGGAAAAGAATGAGGTTTGCAATATCAAAGTCATGATTATATCACACACAATAGTACAATGATGATACTTGCCAAACTATTTCATATTGTGTTTCTAGGAAGACCTTAAAATTTGGCACTTGTAAGTCCTCCCTTGGCTATTCCTTCACGAGAATGATCTTCCTAGGGATGTCTTTCTCTAAGGGTACTCTAAAGGTCTACAAAGGACACATTTTTTTTTCTGCCTTTGAACTTTTCATAGTATTAGGATCGATCAGCCGTGCTCTTGGGAACTTAGACAGTGCCCAGGGAAGCTGTTTCCAGCGAGGCAACAGCTGTTGCTAAGAGAAGGGAGGCACTTCTGAAAAGCCTCGAATTGGTTAGAATCAGCATAGCCAAGTTCACAAGCCACAGTTTGATTTTGTCTCGGGCTTTGTGCTCCTTCAGTACTTCTTAAGTTTTCAGTATAATTCTTGTTTTACCAGCCATTTCCACAGCCCTGTTAGAATACATACAGACTCATACAGGCCTCCTCCATCAAGTGTGTTAGGTGCAAAGTAGATCAGTAAATCACTGACAAAAAACTGATACAGACAGCACTTTGTAGCCAAGAAGTCAGAGTGTATCAGTTTATGCTCAAGGTAATACCAATAGAAAAAAGAAAACAAATGAGCCCTTCTAGACATTGAGGAAGTATTAGTACTCTGAACCATCTCTTTCCCTAAAACAATACTGTCTAAATGATGGCTGAAGTGATCAAGAATATCTAATGAGCTCAGGAATATTCTCAAACTATATGACATTAAGGCTTTTCTAATCTTGATGGGGTGAAATGTACTTGGTGTTCCTGAACTAGACAACAACAGTGGTCTTATTCTATGCCATCCTGCAGAGTTGATGGAGTTAACTGTGGGTAGTGGTGTCCTCCGCAGATATTAAAATGCACTCTATGCTCAACTGATGCCTCAAGGCTGAATTAGTGCTGTGATGATCACTGACCACCCTGACCTGGTGTAGAGCTCTCTGGCTTTCTACTGTGCTTCAACAGAAAAATGATGAACCTCTTCCCCCTAAAGTCTGACCCTTCACTTGTTTTTATTTCCCACACATAAAGGCACAGGGGATTTTTTAGCCTGTCTCAGGATTTAATTGTGACAGTAGCTGGCTTTTGACTAGATCGCTTTAACTGTTTCCTTAATCTGTTGTGCCAAGGTTGTCTGATTTTTCTGAATTCTTGCTGAGTCCTACTATATTTCTTATTTTCTCTAAGATCAGCTTTCTAGAATCAATGCTAAATAATGGAAAATGTGCAAGCTTTATGCTTTTTTGTCAGTAAAGATGAGCTCCTTTGTCTTTGGATTATTGGTGAGATGTGGTCACACTGGGGTGTGAGTGGCTGCTGGGTGGAGATTCAGGGAAGCTGGAGAAGTAATTAGGCAGATGGAGCAGATGACAATGGCTGCAGGGTTGCATGTGGCAGGAAGTCATCCTGGCAGATAAGACCAGAGTCTGAGATTTCACTCATCAGGATTTCAGGCTGGAAACACCTAAGCTTGTTCCTGGCATGAAGCTTGTTTTCAAATTCATCCAATAGTTCAACCAATGTGTGGACTACTGGCTATCTCCTTTATGCCAGATGTTTTCCCTGCGCTCTGTGAATACAACTGTGAAGAGTACATAGCTGCTAGTATAAAGCTGAAAACTTGGATAAAGGACAAGAGTAAGTCGGGGTCCAGTCCTGGCCCTACCTTTATAATGCATCGAAAAATCATGAAAAGATGTGAAATACTGGGATATGTATGGGTTTTTGTTTCTCTGCACTATGTTTGTGTCAGAGCAGTCAGCCATCATTTATTCATTTATTATTTCCACTGCTGAGTACTCTAGTTTTGTAAATCTTCTATACCCGATCCAATCTTGAGTGTTTACAAACCGCTTCCAGGTTTTGACATTATATATCATTGTGTTGCATGGGCCATTCTTGTCCATGTTTCCTAGTGTAGGTTCATGGGGATTTCACCTAATCTGTATGTGTTCTTCGAGTTTATTCTACTACTAAGTGGAATGAAATCAAACACACAGAACATCTAGAGCTAAGACTTCACCAGATGATGCACAATTGCATTCCATGGTTGATGTTCAAGATCATGAGTGAGAGAGTCTCTTGTTCTGCCTCCTGTCTAATTCATGGTATTCTTTCTTTTGAGTTTTGTCAGTTTGCTGGATAGGAAGTGCTTCATGTTACACACAAGCTGCTTTGGATTTGGGCACCATATATACATATATACATATATATATGTATATATACACAAAAACAACTGCTCTCATATATACACTATTATGTATTATATACTATTTACATAATAGTATATAGATTAGACAATATATATGTATATACATATATGCATATATATATATATATATATATATATATATATGTATACATATGTGTGTGTGCATGCACTAGAGCAGTTGTTCTCAACCAGTGGGTTGTGACCTCCAAAAATGATCGGAAAACATATTTACATTACAATTCATAATAGTAGCAAATTTTCAGTTATGAAGTAGTAACAAAAATTATTTTATGGTTGGGGGTCACTACAACATGAGGAGCTAAAGGGTCACACACCATTAAGAAAGTTGACAACCACTCTGCTAGAGCAACGCAATAGTTTCCTTCCCTGTACTAAGAACCATGACCCAGATAGCCAAATATTTGTGTTCTCTCTCTCTCTCTCTCTCTCTCTCTCTCTCTCTCTCTCTCTCTCTCTCTCTGTTGTTTTCTTGAGACAGGGTTTCTCTGTGTAGCTTTGGAGCTTGTCCCAGAACTAGCTGTTATAGACCAGGCTGATCTCGAGCTCACAGAGATCCACCTGCCTCTGCCTCCCAAGTGCTGGGATTAACGATGTGTGTCACCACTGCCTGGCTATATTTGTGTATTTTCATGTAGTCTCCAACCTTTGTAGGCCTTAAACATGTCCCATTTCTCCAGAGACACCCCAGCTTAGCTGCTAATGCCATGCATCATTTAGGATTTAATCATAGAAACAAAGCCAGCAGGAAATTTATTTTGAGATACTTATTGCAAAGAAACAACTTGGG